TTTAATTTTCCCATCTAAGAATATTATTGACATATCAGTATTTTAACGATTTACAATTGTTAATGTGCCATACATTTTATGTTCAGGCGAGGAACATCTAAAAAAGCCACCCTTAGTCTACCGTCCTGCCGCCCTCACTCCGACTGGAAAAAAGCGTGGGATTTTTCCTCCTTCTGGTTTAATCTGTAATTTACTGCCAGATGTACTGGAAATATTCTGACTGTTCTGCGACTTGAAGATATTACGGACTGGTGTAACTTACCAGGCCACACATCTTTTACTTATGTAATTTACTAGAGTGTTTGCACATGCCTTTTTTGACAACTCTGTTTTCATCAAAAAGCAAATAGTACTTGCATGTGAGGGTGAAATGCATAATTGATGCTTTACAGTTTTCCTGATTTTAATTATTTGTCTAATTTATGCTGTGCGGCTAATGTCTTTTATGAATTTTAATTTTAATTTTAGTTGGTATATGTTTATGAAAAATGTAAGGAAATAAAAGAGGAAAATGTGAATAAAATAAGATTAAAATCTGAATAGGAATGTTTCGGTCCATCAAGTCGCATACGTTCCTGTTCAGTGCTGCAGCTAGACTTCGTCAGTGTGATGGTTGTAGCGAAAGTAGCATGCAGTGTGCTAAAAAGAAATGAAAAACGAAGCAAAATAAAAAGGTTAAATTAAAAGTTGAAAATGCATTTTATAAGACATTACCTCCACCATTACGTGTGTTGAACTGACAGATGTGCTTGTAAAGTTCAAACTGTCGTTGAGGTTCCGTCTTATAGAATCTTTCGTGAAAATTTTTATTTTTGTAAGAAGAATTTCAAATACGTGGATAAATAAATCCTGAAAAGAGATACAACAAACAAGACGAGAACACAAATCCAATTGCCCTGTTTCCTAGACTGTTTTTATATTAAATCTCCAAGTTAAAACAACGAAATTCCTGAAATACGTAAGAAACTAAGGATATTTCTTAACACACTCAATACTCAAAGTCAGAGACAAAACCCTCCCCATATTTGTTTTCTTTGAGAGGCATCGCAAGCGGCCGTTTGTGGAGATAGCATGTGCCAATAACAGCCAGCCACTGACAAAGCCATCAATGATCTCTATTTTGAGGATTTTTTTATAGGCTTTTATAAAATTTAAATAAAAACATTATACTGATATCTCTAAAAGCTCAAAAGGCTTGATCAAAAACTGTGATATCAGTGATTTACATAAACCTGCAGGTGACCATCATCAAAAAACAAAATGAGAAAAATACATTATAACAAAACTACTTTTAGAATGCGGAATTTCAGTTTTTATCGTGTGACTTTTCCTAGCTCTTTTGGACAAAGAATAAGCGAAATGCTAGGCAACAACTGGTACCGCATTTGCGGTAAGAGCTCGAATTGCACGCAGTCGTTCAACAGCAAGTCCCAAGTATGGTGGTCCCATTTCCTCTTGCTCTCGCCTCCAAACATTAACCGATAGCTGTGCTCGTATA